CTGCTCGGCTCCTTGGGGATGGGCGGCGGCGCCTCGGGGATCTGGATGTTCTCCAAGTCCAGCAGCCGCAGCTTCATCTCCATGCTCAGCAGCGTGTCCAGGTCGCTCTTGGTCAGCTCGCTGGACATGTCCTTCCCCAGCAGAGCGTTAAGCCCATCGATCCAGATACAGTACTGGGGAAAAAAGGGCAGTTCACAACTCCAGGCATAAATGACAGGCTGTGCTGAATCTTTCCATCCACACAACAATCAGAGATACTCCTGTACTGCTCCAGAATAGGAAACGTGGGAGGGAGTGAACCTACGGGGGGGAAAAGCTGCAAGCCCAGAGCAGTGCCCACAGAGACTTCACACGTGAGTGCGAAGCCTCGAGGTGAGACCCCATGCCTGGAGGAGGCAGCCAGGAGTTCCTAGTGTGGCATCACATCAGGAAAGGCAAAGCTACTTTAGGGATCAGTGTCCTACAGAATGAGGAAAGGGAACAACTGACAGCACAGGAGGAAAGAAACCAGCAGTCCACACTAAGGGGAGTTAGTGTAGAGCTTGGTTTTTTTTAAAGAGAAAGATAACTGAAGAAAAAGGAAGATTCACACCAAGCATCGGCAACAATTTCTAAGAATGAACTTGGTGGGAGAGATCCTGTTCAAGCCTTTAATGAGATGCCACCAGTCCTTCTTAATCTCTGAAGTTAATTGCTTTACATTCTACTGCTTAACCACTATATTTCTTACCTCATATTTATTGGGTGCAATGAAGTTCAAGGTCTCATCAGGATCGTATAATATCGAGAAGGCCAATTCTAACACTTCCTGAATAGAAAAGAATCAGTCGTCGACTGAACAAAACATCACAGCACTCCCTGCCTGCTAACGCGCCACGAGAAGCTGCCTTGCTGCAGCTCAGCACACTGTCCCGTGTCAGTATTCTGCACAGCTCTGGAGAGCCACAGCACAGCCAGGCTGTGCGCACAGCACCTCACAACCGCGAACGAGTACCAGGAAAAGGCCCAGGAATGAGATGGGCTTTGTAAACAATACACCTACAGCGTCAAAGACCATTTGCTCCATTGCTTGCCTTCACAGTCTTCAACTCTACAGCACTGGATGTTAATTACAGGCAAAAAGGGAGAACCTACCTTGTTCTGTTTCAGTGCACTTTTCTCCTTCATGTGTGGACAATCCTTCCCTGTGACAATGGCTTTGATGTCCGCAACTGGAACTAACAGTGAAAAAGTAAAACTCACAACAAGAAATCCTAACCAGGGAAAGACAGAACCTTGTCTTGTCTTTGCAACTGAGCATTGTTCCTGGTTTTGTAGCTCATTACTGCAGTTTCCCAAAACACATTACCAATAACACGTCCCTATGGTTGGCTGTTATAAGAAATAACAAGTAATTCCACAAGTGAAAGGATTTGGGCAAGGACCAAAACTTGATCTCATCTCAGCCAGGGCTTCAGCCGCAGCTCTTCTTCTCCTCTCATCTCTGGAACGGTGCTCAACAGCAGAGCACAGAGCATTGCACAGTGTGCTCAGAGCGGTGATCAGGACTTACTTTTCTCCTGTAGAGATTCAAAGGTCACTTCCCCTTGGGCATTGTCTTCCAGATCTCCATAGTGCAGCACCTTGTGATTCAGAGCCAGGCGACAATACCAAAATCTTTCTGGAACACGCATCAAGTAGAGCAGGCTGAGCACGATAGTTCACCCGAGGCCGTACAGCCACTTCATTACAGTCCCCACCCAGCCCCTCCACTCCCCCGTTCTCAGCACTGGTTCCTGTTCATAAGGAGAGGGCTGGGTTCTTAGAAAGGCACACTGTTCCATCCCAAACTACTGGCTGGTACAGACAGCCCAGGAAACCAGCTTTCCTTTCTGGCAACACGCCTGCTGACAGATTAACCCGTTAGATCTTATTTGCCTACAGTTCTGTATATGAAAAAATGGAGTAGACGCCGTCACCTTACCTTGTCTTCTGCGATTTCCAATTTTTCGAAAGCTACTTCCCTCGCAAAGCCTGTTCAGGCGCTGTTGCTTTATCAGCTCCAAGATCTCAGGTTGGATTTTCTCTCTCAACTCCCTGGCGATCAAATACGGAGGAGTAAGCAGAAGATGGAGATAACAGCAAGCACAGAAGGCAACTGTTTTTGTTAGGCACTCACACAATAGGTGGTGACTGGAAGTCATCTTGGCTCATCCTCTCAGACTGGCGTAGTCGCAGAATCTCAGAATAGCTCAGGCTGCGCAGTTTGCTCTTGAACTGGTCCAAGGAGTTTGGTTTAGAGGGGAGAGCCCGTGTGATCTGTTCCCTCACAACCTGCATAACCTGAAGAGGTTGGGCAGGGAAAAAAGCAAGTCACATTCTTTCTGCTTAATGCCAGCAGAGAACCAGGGCACAGCTCAGTGGCAGCGAAGAACTGACATGGAGTGACCAGGGCCAGGAGCGCCAACGTACAGCGAATGACCTCGGGTCACACCAGATGGAAGGTGGACCATCCTCCCTTACGGCCCACATCACTGCCTTGTCACACATCCTGTGCCCTACTCTGTGATCAAGTGTACAGGTCCAGTGAATGTGTGCTGTTCTGCAAAAGATTCCACAAAGAAACCCCTCCTCCAGTCTGACCTTATTAAAATCTTCTGCTGTCGCTCTCATTTCTTTCCAGGTCTTGTTCAACAGCTGGATGCAGATGGCAAATAGCTCCTCAAATGCACGGTCATGGGTGAAAAACATGGGGTGATAGTCATTCCGGCCTTCATTGGCTTCAGGAAGAAACGGAAACCACAACCATGTGAGCATGTTGCACAAAAGCTACTAAGTGTAACTAAAATCCACTGCAGTGACAGAAACCTGATGGCGTACAGCAGCACCAACTCAAAGAGGTGAGGACAGTCCAACGATTTGTGTCCCCATAGACAGTCTATATTTGAAATGGCAACTGTGCCCACATGGCACCATGCAAGATCTGACTCTTGCCCTTTCCATACCTGTTCTCCCAAATGACTGCTCGCAGTTGTTTCCCCACTTTCCTCTGGCAGAATTTCTTATTGTGGTTAATTGTCTCAATGTTTTTTGAGACTGTCATAGCTCCTGAACCTTCATCAAGTCCACACTGGCTTCTCGAGCGTTATACAGCACTCTGCTGAACCATCAGGAAGTTGAAGCCTTCTGCTTGTGTCAGTTTTTCAGGAGAACCAGAGTGCACACAACAGAATTTCTTACTTTACTTCGATACAGGTATTATCACGGGGACACTGACACTGCAACTCCAAGCTCCCCCATCCTTACAAGACAGAAGTGAGATCAAGGTACCAACGCTTGTGAATATTGGCCAGCCCGCAAGCTGCTTCCAGAAGAATCAGCCCAATAAATGGTACTTACGGAGTTCCCCAACTTGCAGGATCTCACAAAGCATCCTGGTAAGCTCGATGGCACTGCGCCCGAAGGGACACTCATGCTTATCTTCTCGACTGCTGTTCTCCAGAACAATCTACGAGACGAGCATGCAACACACACTAAGAACTGCTGGGATGCTGGTATCTGCAAAAAACAGCAGCTTCACTTACTCTGATATAAGTGTCCTGATGAAACTTGGCCAAGTAGAGCATGTTGTCCAACGCCAGCATCCCTGGAGGAGTCTGAGTAAAATCCATGGCTGGATTGATGTGATTCTGTGAAGAGTGTGTAGAAAGAACCCAAACAAATTAGCTCAAATTGCACGAGAACCCTTTCTGAATTAATTTTACAACTGCCTGTGTGTCCAGCACTCCCTCACATCGTCCATGAGGTAACCTTGGGCACCTGCTGACAACGCTACCCAAACTTTCTAGAGGAGAGGCCAATTCCAGGTTCTTCATAGAATAGGTGCCTATGGTAAGTAAATATCTCCAGAGAATGTGTCTAATGAGCCCTGGCATTTAACCAATTAGCAATTACATCATGATCTTCCCTGGGAGTCTGAGAGTAGCTGCTATTCTAAAATTCAGATACAGAAGTACAGCAAAGCAAACAGCTATTTCTGTTCCTTATTTCCCCACAACTCTGATGGAGATGGCTTAGATTGCCTTTACGTGCTTTACAGTCACTCTCTCTAGATGCATACAGTGAATCCCAGCATCTTGTAGTCCTTGGTGTACATGGCTTTGCGCTTTTCTGTTCCACTGCCAGGGATGGTGTTGCTGTCAGACTCTGCATCAAATGCAATTCTTCTTAACTCAAATATGATGTCTCTCTGTGCCTGAAGGACAGAAGGCAGGGAAATGGTAACGTGTGGTCAATCACTGGGGCAGTATTTTCACATAATGCACAGTCCCACCTCCCTCTCCAGAGCTCACACAGCAAGTACAGAGATGCCAAATGTCATTAGCACTACAGAAGAAGAGGCAATCCATTTCAAAATGGCAAGTTTCAGTATATAGAGTAAGGCAAAATATTTGTTTGCATTTCTTACTTAAGACTACAATGCATCTAAGAACTGAGTAACAGATATCTTAAAAATGCCCAGCTTCCTTGTATACCACAAGGAAATGGATAAAGTGATGTGTCCTTCATAGAGGTGGAGTAATCTGCTTAACAGCTGGTGTCACATTGGGCAACAAAGGAATATGTGGCTTCCAGTGACCACTTACATCTCTTAGAGCCCCATAGAATATAGCAGGATAGCCACGAGCATACCCTAATCTCTAAGACTACAATATGACGAGTGGTTTTGAAACTTCATGCACCATCTGCTGCAGATTCTATGGAGCTAAGGAGCTCAGGAATAAGGCCCCCTGCCCGTCCTGTTCTATAGGATCTGCTCAGCTGTAACAGTGACCTGATCATTGGGATCCATCTTGGTCATCATTCTCTCTTCCAGGAGATTAAAGGTCAGGACCTGTAGCACGTACAGTTGATGTGCCATTTCTGTCTTAATCGGGCGGTTCCCTCTGATCACATGCTGCAAAATAAAGACAGGGTAGAAATTAAGAGAATACAAATAAAAACTGAGACTTTAACTGTAGCCATATGCCAGGCTGCATGTAAGTCTCTATATATGAAGATTCAGCTGTTTAACCCCCATATTCCATCAGAAGCATAATGATAATGCTCTGTAACAGCAAGAAGGAGCATCCTGATTACTCCCTTTTCACCTCCAATTCCAACTCCAATTTCACCTTTGAAAGAGTCACTTTTCAGAAAGTGCCCTGAGAGCAGCAGAGTTTACACTCTGCACAAGTGAAACCTCTATTGAGAAAATACAAGGAAGCACTCTGTCGTTGCACACATACTTACATTCAGGATTATAGACCTCAGGTGCTTCTGGGCAAATGCATTAGCCATTTCCTGTTGTGGAATTTAGAGAAGAAATAACATGAGTGAAATACAAACAAAAAGCTCACATTGTGCAGAAAGGAGAGAAGAAGGAAGCCTATGAATTGCAGATAACACTGGCACACTACAAAGTGCTTTTACTACAGTGTCAATTTAGCATGGCATCTCACCACAAAGCAAGCATTAAAAAACCCCCCAAAACCTGTCATCTGCAAGAGGTTCCTTCAATTAGCATTTCACAGCTTTCTATACCTAGGTGTACACCCAAGGCAACACGTAGGACGTAGTTTTTGGGTCTCCTCCCTCTCAGAAACTCTTCCTCTGAAATTTACACTTCCTTTGTTTCAGTTCCTAAAGAGATGTTTAGAATTCAGTTCAAGAACAATTTGCAAAAGCACTTCGGTTTACAAAAATAAAGGGTAAATAATTTTCATGCTTAAAGGAAAGCTTCCAGTTTCCCTCTTTACTGCATGGCTTCCTTCCCCAGCCGAGGGTTTCCCAACCATCAAGTCATGACGACAGCCACAGCAGGTGCAACTATGTGCTGCAAGCCTTCGGTTCCAGGACCAATTACACATTCATCTGCAAAAATCTAACCTGTGCTTTCCTTGTAAATTGTGAATTCGCGCTTTTTAAAATACCAGCAATCTCATCGCACCTGCGAGCAGAGTGGCAAAAGTGCTAATGTCGAGATGGAATATTACCAAAAGTTTGCTGTTATAAGCAAAAGTCTTTGGGTAAGAAAAATCTGTTGGGCCATGCATCATTTGAAGTCCAAAAGATTTGCCTGAGATCTCTTCACATTCCTGTGCAGTGCGGGCTGAGAACTGGCAGCAGATGTGCAGTCTTAGACAAGTGCACCCAATCAGCTCTACACCCTGAGCAGTCCAGGACACTTCCGACTGCTCGTATCAACCCTGCTCCTGACAGGCAGCATAAGGAGTCTGGTAAAATGTGCGTATCAATCTCATTCCAAATCCCTATTATCACTTTTTCTCCACACAGAAACCTCCTAAAATAAGGAAGTGATGTGCTGGCTGATGGCCAAGCTGTAATGGCTGCAAGTTCAGCAGCGCTCCTGTTACAACCAAAATGAGTCAGTGCTTGAGTGGAAGGTATCTAAGAAGCATCTAGATGAAGTAGGAAGTGGTAACACGCTGCCCTCCGAGTCATTATTTTTTACTATGATTCGTGAGATGTAGTACTGAGAATAGAACAAGACCTGCTGTTCGGATTTGTTCATGCATGCAACACAGAATCCTTACTCTGAAGGAATTAGTTTGTATGTGGGATGAAGTAACAGGTGACTGAAGCAGATAAACAGACAATGACAATTAAACAATTCTTAATAGCATAGTAAGAAGCACGAGCACACACATAGCCTAACTGCTGCTAAGGGATCTGTGTTCTGCTGAGTGTCCAGCAATGCCCACTGCTTGGTGAGGGCAGAGGCACAGACTTGGTGTCGGAAGAAGTGTCCTGAGATCATCCTGCCCAACTGCCCTGGTTCAAGCAATGCAAGATGGAGCAGGCTGCGCAGCGCCGTGTCCAGTCAGGTTTTTAATATCTCCACTGATGGAGACTCCACGATCTCTCTGGTAACCTGTCCCAGTGCTTGACCACCCTTATATTCATTATTTCGTTTGTCTGTGTGTGTGTGTTCAGGTGGAACTTCCTGGGTTTTAAGCTGTGCCCATTGCCTCTTGTCCTGTCAGCAGGCACTGCTGAGAGCAGTCAGGCTCCCTCTTCCTTATTGCCTTCCATCAGATACTTATACACACTGATAAGACCCCCCGAGCCTTCTCTTCTTGAGGCTGAGCAATCCCAAATCTCTCAGCCTTTATCCCTATGAAGGATGGTCCAGTCCCTTCATCATCTTCATGGCCCTTTGTGGTCAAAGGGGAGGCAAGTGGAAGCGTGAGATCCCTTGGAATTTTGTTTGCTATGAAGATTAGTATCTTGGCCAAATTACCAACAGAGAAGTATGTTTTTCCTTATTTTCATGTGTTAAGCATGTCCATTAATTTTAGAAATTATTTACTGAGACCACAGTTTCCCCCTTGAGGGCACTGCATCCCTGGCAAAAGTGGAGCGTTCTCTGTGCCACCCAGAAAATCTAAAAAAAGTACCAGAATCTCAAGATACAGAAAGTTCCAAATCAACCTACCAACAAGAGTGGCAATTCCCCTTGAGACAGCATGGGGCAAAAGACATCCTTACAGTACGATTTCCATAAGGGAGAAATCACAGATTAGGCAGAATGCATGCTCTAGCTCCCAGTCAGCACTAAGTTTTGTGACTGCTCTTCACAAACAGCTCTACCTTTAGAGGGACGCAGCTGGATACGAAACTGCCATCAACATAAGTGAGATCTGGGGTATAAACTTGGGCTGTAAGTTTAAGGAAACCCAGACTGCTGAAGAACTGGTTCTTAGTTTTAAAATAGATTCATCTGGTCAGTCTCGCAGCATCAGTTTCCTTTTATGATAATCTTTACCATCTTGTGTGCACAAAAAGCCATTCAAGATTTCTCCTGCTACTGATTCTTCTTCCCTTCACAATCCGAGTACTACCCCGAGTCCTCCCGCCCTTCTCCCTAGGCTCATCCACTGTCCGAAGCCTGTGTGCACCATCTCTGAGACGCAAGGAGGCACCACTGGAGAAAAGCTAACATGCCTACAGTTCCGCAAGACCAGCCCCCAGGCTCGAGTTACTTACAGTGATGGGCAGGTCTAGTGGGTTAAGCAGCTTGTCCTGCTGGCAGAAAGCAAAAAAAGGCACAAAGAGAAGCAGACAGGATTTAGCTCAGAGTCCAGAAATAAGGCACAAATGGGGCACTAGAGAAGAAAGGCTTAACACAGCAATGCTACACAATACAGACATATGCACATCTTGCACGTAGCTGAGATCTTGGGGGTCTCAGAGCAGGACAGGTGTGTCATTTCTCACGTATGCCAGTAGGAATAACCCCCTAAACTTAAGAAAGGTCACCTTGTGGGGGGAGGTGGGAAGTTTGTTTAGTAAGTAAACACAACCCCAAGGAGTCCGCCCAGCCTAGCTCTCCCACACAGAATTAACTTTCTTCCGAAACAACTTCCATGCTGTATAGAGGATTACTTTCTGTCTCTCAAGGCCTTTCAGATTCCTTTCTGAGCATCTCCTAAACATAGATGTGCAGTTACAGAACACATTATTAATGGAATGGTACTTTTTCTCCTATGTTGCCACACTGAAACAGCTACGTAAGTTCTTGGCAAGGTCCGAGGTCTGCCTTGCTCGGGCAATATGATTTCTGAGGTGTGAGCAGCCAGCCAGCAACTATTATTCAGGTTTAAAGTCAAAAGGCAAGAACAAACCTGTCTCTTGTCCTCAGGTGCCTTCAGGAAGAGGGCATTGATCAGGGCAATGGCGTATGTCTGAATCTCTTGGTTCGAGCTGCAGAAACAAAATCGGGAGGCTCGTAAGAAAGCAGAGAGTATAGCACATCACAGCTTGCTGCCTTGCCTGCACCACAAGAACATTTACTACAGCTGCCTTGCAGCCCAGCAGAGCCCAGAGTTCAGCACCACCAGTTTGTTTCCAAAGCTAAAACAATCTCCATCAAGCCTAGTTACACTGCAGTCTGTTACGCAGCTGCAGCTAGAAGTTTATATGAAGCAAGAAATTTTTCTCCCCTATGTCAATGGAAGCCACCAATGGCAAATGAAAGTAAGGGGGAAGCACGCCTCTTTTTATGGCATTGCCTTCCAACCTCTGAAGTTTGGTCTGACCCACATGTCTTTTTATTTTCACTGAACAGCTTATTCAGGTAAAGGGTGCTTAGCGCCCTCCTAGATCACACACAGCACGTGGTTTCACTTGCAACGTTTTGAATAAGCTTCCAAATGCTGATCGCACTCTTTTCCACCCCCACCTTGATGCTCTATCAAATCCAGTTTTGTTCCTTGCTATATTATTACTCTTTGTGGTGGTTTGACCTTGGCTGGACACCAGATGCCCACCGAGTTGCTCTATCACTCCCCTCCTTGGCTGGACAAGGTGGGGGAGAAAAGAAGATGGAGAAAAACGCCCTCGTGGGTCCAGATAAAGGCAGTTTAATAAAGCACAAGCAAAGGCCACATGTGGAAGCAAAGGAAAACAAAAGATTTATTCTCTACTTCTCATCAGCAGGTGATGTCCAGCCACTTCCCAGGAAGTAGGGCTTCAGTATCCATAGCAGTTGCTCCGGAAGACAAATGTTGCAATCACAAATGCCTTCCCCCTTCTCCTTTCTCTTAGCTGTTATTGCTGATCAGGTGTCTTCTGGTATGGAATATTGCTTGGGTCAGTTTGGGTCAGCTGTTCTGGCTGTCTCCCCTCCAAAAACCTTGCCCACCCTCATCCTACTGGTGACGAGGGGACATGTTGGAGAGACAGCCTTGATGGTGTGCAAGCATTGCTCAGCAGAACCAGAACAGTGGTGTGATATCAACACCTTTCTAGCTACCAGTACAAAGCACAGCACTGTGAGGGGCTGCTATGGGGAAAATTAACACTACCTCAGCCAGACCCAATACACTCTTGAGAGACTTCTGCAGAACTTCAAGCTCTTCTATTAACAGAAGTCCAGTGCACCACCTAAATTAATTCACATGTGTGTGTGGGTTTTTTTATTATTTATTAGTTCAAGCAAGACATCAGATTAGTAGTACTTTAAAAATAGCATCATTAAGTGTTTTGAACGTAAAAGGATGTATTTTCCAATTAACAGATATTCATAAAATTGATTTAAATCACATCACTGTTGGATGGACACTCACACTTGAAGATGAGAAATGAGCTGCCCCACGGTGATCTCTTCTGCTATCTTCTGATACAGGGTCTGACTGTTTAGCACCATGCTTTCTAGAATGGCTAGGGATCGTTGGAGGATGGAGACATCTACCATGGGCTGACTCACATACCCTGCAATCTAAAAACAGATGAACCAGCAGATCAACAGATGCCATCCAGGAAACATTGTGGTGAGTGAGACAAGCCAAGGCAGACAGGGCTCAGAAAGCTGGGTGTACAGTGCCCTCAGGGACTACTCAGCTTCTCAGTCATCTTGCTATTCCTGGAAGCTGCATTAAAGCATGAAAAGAAACAACATCCACTCACCCCCTTTACCCAAACTCACCTGTTTGATGAAGGTGATTGAGACCATGTCCCACGAGACAATACCATGGTCCATGAGCTCCAAGAAGGCAGTCAGGGTGAAAGCCAACATCTCACTGTAACTGAGAAAATGAAGAATACAGTTACAAGAGATCCAGTAGCAAGGCAAAAGCTGAATAAGCTGGGTAAGAAAAAAGCCACCACTATCTCCTCAGTAAAACAGGCTATAGTTTGGCAGCTGGGGGAACAATAAAGCATTGCATTTATGAAAATGATGTTATTGTTTCATAGAGTCGTATTTTATTTTTTCCTGATTGCAGGCATAAATTAAAACTAGCAACAATAAGTCCCTAGTCCTGCCACCAGAGACTCATTACCACCTGGATCAGTACCTGGCTAGTCAAAGCAATAACAGGAGAAGAAGCAGCAGCGCAGTATTTATTCCTCAGCAGTGCAAAGCATCACTACTCAATTCAACACATTCACGTGAAGGAAAAAAACCCCACAACAAACCCAAGCAAAACCCAGAACATTCAGTAGAATGACCATCAGTTAAAAAAAGACCAACTTAAAAAGGGGAAAGCTTTTTAAGTTTATCAACTGAAAATTAAACCATCTGCAAATACGAAGTTTTTCAACTGCTGTCAGATGCAAGCTCCAGCATAAATTTATATCACAAAACTTGCAGAAGTCTTTGGAATTATAACCCCTCCACACACACACAAAATGAACAAACATGTTTTAACATCAGAAAAAAACAAAGAAAAATTCTCATTCTGTAAATATTGGGACTTGGCTTGAAACCAAACATAAGCACAGCATGAACTGTGGAAAATTGAACATGTAACCACAAGACAGAAAAGCAAAAAAGACTGAGGGAAAGATTGCAATACATGATGAAAACATATTAGTTACTAATATTTAAGAAAAAAAAAATCTATAAATGTTACAACAGTAAGTTATCATGACTTTAAAAGTGCTTTCAAGTGCCTCGTGAGGTTTAGTAAATGACTAGAAAGACTTGGTCTCAATTAATGGGTTTGCCTTTGCTGTGAGGTTAGTTGCTTAATGCCACTTCAGCAAGCAAACCAGCCACTGATTAGAGGCCCTGCTCCAGCATCCTGGAATACAGGAGACTTACTGGGACAGAAGCTTGGTCCCGCTCTCCACAAGCCGCGTCAGCACCGTGATCCCTTCCATGTTGATGAACTCTGTTGCAAAGGTCACATCTGCTGAAAGTTTAGCCAGTTCCTTCATGGCGTCCAGCCGGGCTTCCATGCTGTGCGACTGGATCCTCTCCATCAGCTGGCGAGCTGCCCTGGACTGGGAGGAAAGAGGGACGATGCCAGTTACAGACCAGTCACCTGCAGACCGAGTTCTGTCAGGATCCACGCAGGTTGAGAGAAGCCAGCAATGGCAGGAGAAGTAGCAGCAGTCAACTAAGATCGACTGAAAAAAGGCTGCACTTGGCAACAGCTACAGCCAAGCAGGAAGCAAGTAAAACGCTATTCTGTACGTTAGAGTAAATGCTTGCTTTTCTCCTGGGTAAGGTGAGTGGAGGTGGATACAGAAATATGGACCAGAGAGTCCATTAAAGAAATGGGATGTTAAAAAAAAAGTCTCAGATTCAAAGAGAAGCACAAGGTCGTTCTGTGTATCCACACGACATTCTGTGAGATTTCTCAGATGCAGATCCATGATACCCTCCCAACCACCTCTTGCCCAAATAACTTCCTTCTGTTCTACTAACTCTCAGGTACATGCCACGAGACTTGCACAAAAAAGGTTTACAAACTTCAATAAAAAGGAAGTTGCAGCAAGTCTGCAAAAGACAACTGTCGAAGTGAAGTCACTAGGCACAACCCGCTCTGCATCAAATTTGTCTCTTGCTTTAATTTCAGCATTAAGTCACCAGTACTGTTGCTTTCTGACTGATAATACTAACTGCAATCATATCGAGAATGTGTCTGTCAGGTGCTTTACAACATGCTAATATAGGAGATGCAATAAAAATGCGGGCTAGATTTATTTACAGAAAGTTCTACAAAAGGGCAGAGCATCCTAAGGAAAGACACACACCATGGTTGAGAAGGAAAACAAGAGAGTGCACCTCATTGTGCAGAATGGCCCACAGCACAGGTAAGCTCCCTACAACTTAGGGAGAAGGAGAAAAAAAAGTGGAGAGGCAAGAAACAGGCTGTCATACGAGGACAGCTCCTGAGAAGAGGGGATGAGAGGAAGCATTTACCGGGGAGATTGCCAGCTGCAGGATAGTTCCATTCTTGATGTCACAGCGAGTCTGAAAGAAAACAGAGACTTGAAACTGCAGAAAAGTGGAGGGGAAAGAATGTAACTGGATCTTGTGCACATTCGTATGCACAAGTAAAGGGGTGCCTATACCACACAACCCTACTGAGGGTGTTAAATTGAGTCACTGCGTCCTCGCACCTATGGGCATGCAAAAATAAAGGGCAAAACTCTTCAGTTCAATGGCACCACTCAGGTCTGAGTATTTTTGATAGCAGAGATGCTGCCCCTCAAGGATCAGCAACAGAGTTGTCCCATGACGCTGATCCAAGGCATTCTGCGCTCCTGCCCAGGACATCAGCAAACAGCCACCTCTCACTGACCTGCTCTGTGATGTACAGCTGAGGACCATCAGCATACCGCAAGGTGTAGTATTCAGGGTTTGGCAACGACCACCTGGCAGAGGAAGAAGAAGGACACATAAGCTTCTTCCTCCTCTTTCTTCTGGCTCTCAATTAGGAGCAGGAGCTTGATCCCAGGAGGATGGAAAAGAACTTTCACGCAAAGCTTTAGCACAGGAAGTTAGGTCTCCCAACAAGGAGAGAAAACACCTTCCTCTTGAGGGGGAGATGGGATTTCATCTAAGTCAAGCTCTGTGGAATATCAGAAGGGCCCTGCACATCAGGAACAGCAAGATGGGCCAGTCCTCAGAGACACTGACCCTAGGGGCATGCATATGCACACACTCAGAACTGGAATACAGATGCAAAGCCCCTGTTTTCCAGAAGATCCTTTTCTTCCCGATTTAAACCCTAGTCCATTCCATGGCCAAAACTGGCAGCAGGCAGCATGGATGGTTCTAGCAGCACATTGACAAGCAGCAGAAGCTTTCCACATTACCCCAGCAAGATTTGTCAGTGGGACAGACAGAGTTCCCAGAGGACTACTCACCCATCACAGACCTCCTTGATGATGGATGCAAGAGGCCTTTTCTGGAACAGAAAGAGAGAGTCCTCAGCAGCCATGATCCTCCCAACCAGAAAGAAATACTGCCCATTTCTATGCTTTCCACATTCCAGCGTCAAGGCTGTGGTGCATTTCCTCCCCATCTGGTTACCAGCTCTCACCTGATCTATTTCCAGCAGCTGGGCATTGGCACCTGGCCACTCCACAGCTACTTTCACAATGTCCGAAGGTGGTGGCATTGCTCCAGACTCCTCCAGGCGTCTTTACAACAGCATACACCCCAACATCTGTTAAGAGAAAGGACAGTGAGCAGCTCTCTGAGAACTATTTCAGTTGTTACATTGCACCCAACACCAAGCTTCAAAACACGACAGAAGACCAGCCCCATGGTTTGCTGGGCCTGCTGGGGACAAAACTTCCAGCATGCTGGAGATCAGGGGCTCACACTAAAACAGCACATGGTGAAACTGTATGCCCACCCTTTCACCTAAGGAGTATTTCTGAGCGCTTGCTGGGGTACTCGCACAAGGAGGACAGTCACTCTGATCAGCAAAGCCCCATCTGCCATCCACTGCTGTGCTGCCAGGTCAGCATACAGCACAAGTAAAGCAAGAGCTCCCTAGGCTCAGCTTCTGTCTGTGTGTGAGAGAGGGAAAGCGCTGCCCAGGCAGCCTCCCTCCCATGGGCTGGGCTTTACTGATGCCCCATTCACATTTCTCAGACACCTTGATCCACTCAGGATAGCCAAACAGGCTCCTAGGCAGTGCAGCAGCAGCTAGCTTTACCCCATTCCCTTCCTACAGCATCATAAATCTAAACCATGAATATCCACCACAGAAGAAAAGGTAACTCAGCATTTGCTTTGCCAGTCTACCTTTCACTCCTTTATCTGTCTTAGAGCACAAACTGGTGTTCAGGGTTCCAGACAGTTGTCAGACATGCTGGTTTGTGCTTCATCTGGTAGCAAGAGGCTGTAAAGAAATGTACTTGTTCAGTTCCTTTTAATCCTCTCCCGCATGGGGGGAGTAGCCCCTGCTCTCTCCTGCAGAGCCACAGGGAGAGAGTCCCATGGGAGAGAGACAACGCTCCCCATTAGCAGTTCTCAGGATCAAAGGCTTCAAGCTGCGAAAGATGAGACCTGACTGGACACAGAAGGAGTCCTGTCCTTAAGGACTCCTCCTCAGACTCAATTTCCAGCATGCCCCAGATGCGATGGTAACCATCCAAAGAACAACTTCGCAGCTGCTGCGAAAGCTCCTGTTCCTCCGACTGGGACAACCCAATCTTCCTTTCCTAGAATCAGACAGTGCTGAGCAGGGGCACTGTTTCACGATTAACATTCTTTCTCAGCTTCCTTGATCAACTGGGGAAGAGATGCTAAGACAGGCTAAGACCTGAAGGGAAACCACCAGCCTCCGGAATTTTTCTGATGTGAGACAAGTAGATAAGAGAGAACTTCCCAGGGATCAGCAGAGATCAAACATCTGCAGACACCTGGCCCAGGAAATAGGTCTGTATGACTGTCCTGGAAAAGGGAACTTCTATGAAACTAGCTGAGTCTGCCCCAAAAGGTGGGTATGCCTGTCCTGATGACTTAGAGATCCACTGATGATCTCAATTAGTGAAGCTCAAACGTCTCTTCCTTCCCTCACAGAGACTGGCATCACAGCATGGAGAGATATGAAAACTCAGGTGCACTAATGCTTCCCTGCCGAGCATGCCACACTGCAACTCAGAAGAGTCCCTCCTGATCCCAACAATCTGACTTGCATCCAAGTACAGTGCAATAAATACACAAGGCAGAGCCAAGAAAGCGTGCTGAACCAATGTACTCTGCAGCACCAGCCACGAGAATTGAGAGCTTACCTGATCCCTGTCTCGCAAAGAGACAGATGAACCCAGTAAAACTATGAATCATGCTTCCTCACTTCCTTTTCCTGACTTAGACACACACACTAAAATAAATCAATAAATAAAAAGCCTTTCAAATGGCTTTTGCAGCAACAGTTCAAAACAGGGATAACAAATCAACTAAATCTTTAAGTGCACTATGGCAATTACTCATATACAAGCAGTAGCACAGCTCTGTACATATTCATAGAATCACAGAATGGTTTGGGTTGGAAGGGACCTTAAAGACTATTCAGTCCAACCCCCCTGCCATGGGCAGGGACACCTCTCACCAGACCAGGTTGCCCAAAGCCGTGCCCAACCTGTCCAGTTTTCACGACACCCCCAGATCTGCTGGACATACAGGTTTCCATCCATTAAGTCTAGAAACGGACAAGCAGTTCCCAAATGGTACGTGATTTCCACTCACTGTTCTCCATTTAGCCCACGATGGCCTAAACCTGAAAGCCTGAGCAATCTCAGTCCACACGCACATCCCCTGGAATCAGACTGGCTTGCAGGAGCTGAACAGAGAATCACTTCTCCCACGAGTGAACCAACTCAGGACTAGGAACCGTCTAAACCCACTCAGTGTTCAAGGCACAGTGAAGAGGCAAGGCTCAAAAATCACCTCCTTGAGTATTAAGAACTGAATTTGCAACTCTTATAACTAATACACCCATGACTAATTGGCATCTGATTACCACTTCTCCCTTCAGCCTCTTGCAGTACAGTCATAGTCTTTTATTTGTACTGCAACACACATTGCGAGTTGCTATTGAAAAGTACAAGGAAATGCAGTACTTTATATGCTATAACGAAGATGTTCCTATAGATTACTATAGGTAGAAACCTTCACAAATTCCTAACTTGTCTTCTTCCTTGCAAAGAATGTGCATCATTCAGGGAGACAAAGTGCACATTTAAACAAAAGAAACTGGTATTATGGGAAACTCTGCAGAAATCATAGAATCATTCAGGTTGAAAAAGACCCTTAAGATCATCAAGTCCAACCGTAAACCTAACACTGCTAAGTCCACCACTAAACCGTGGTCCCTAAGCACTACATAAATACAAATAAATTCTCCTGTTTATTCAAAAATGTACTGCAGAGGTTGACCCACAGCTCCTCGAGGCAATGCACTCTACCTGCAGCTCCCTTGGTACCCTCACCACTGAAAACAGTAACCAACCAAGCTGTGTAACACCGCCTTATCTCAAAAAAACCTTTCAGCTGCATACTAACTCAGAAGGCAACTCACTGCAATGTATTAGACTATTTCTACCCCAAACTTCTGCCATAAATCAGCACGCGCTCACAACCAGAAACCATGTTCCCTATTCCGATCAGCATTCAAGGCACAGCAAATACACAGTGAACGAAATAGAGCTTAAGGACTGTTTCATTGCGCAGCAGCACGATGGAACAGATGAGCCTACCATGGAAGGGATTCAAACGCCAAAATGAATTGGCTAAGCAGAACCCCCACAAGCAGGAATTAAAAAATGTAGGAAGCTCTTCAGACCGTCTGGGTTAAACAGTGCTTTGAAGGACCCACACGGATCAGTGGCTCCGCAGCAGCAGCTTTCCAGAAGAGGACAATGAAGACTGCACTACAAACACAAAGGGTACTTCAGGTCAGCCTCTTAACCCGAGGTCATCCGTCAAAAGCGTTCTTTGAAAAGATTTCACTGCACGTCTGCAGACAGGAGAAGTGTCAGATGTTACATTTTACAATGGAAATTCTGCAGTGCACCAGTGATCTATCTGATACGACGACTGTTTGGAAGCTCTTGGAAAGAAGCACAGACTGCAATTTTGCATAATTGTGATTATTAGTCATTTACAGGTCTCTCACAGCACACCCTTCTCAACAACAGCCTGTAAGCAATTCTCACAGTTTTATACAGGCAGACAGCAGCCTAGCTGAAATCCATCAAAGATGAATTCGTTCTGCTTCTGCAGAGCGAGTTCCTTCATACAAAGCTGTGGTGTATGGGTAGCTGCAAGGCAAGGAGAAATCAGCAGAGCCACCAATAACACTCTATTCAAGAGACTTCTGAGAAGCTGCAAGCTAAAACAACCAGAGTATTTTAAACAGAATTTCCCTATTCACAAACTCAATCTTCTTTTCATTACCGATAGAGAAGAAAGTGTGCTGCGCATGGAATGAAAATGAGGAGGATGAAAGAGCATGCCATGAAAAAGAAAAGCTGCCTGGTAGGATTCCCCAGTCCACATGTGAATAGCTGCAGCTTCTGAAACCTGCAGATGCAACAAAACATCCCAGTCAGTTCTCAGCCAGTCCCCGATGCGGTATCGACAGACCAAACCAGAGGTGGAAGTGACGTTCGGACAGTGACTAACTGGGCAAGTGTGCAGAGAAGACCGCTTCCTTGACCAAGCAGCATAAGAGGGTGGCAGACAGCAGAGTCCACCTTGAGGGCTACCTACAGTTTTCTATGTCACCTCACAAACCAAGCAAAGAGGAACACCCTTCGCTAGAGAAGCCAAGAAACTGGGTGGCGGATACTCTGTCCCTGGGATCCTACATTCCTCCAAAGGCCTCCCATAGTTGCCCTTTGCTGTAAAACTCAGCCTGTGACACTGGACTCTCATCTGGCGTATTCCAGCAGACCCGGTCAGAGACCATCTCTTAGCAAGGACAGAAACTGATAGCAACAGGCAAAAGAGAGAACTGCTTTTTTATTATTTTTAATCAGTCGAGCGAGCCAAAAGCAGACAGGCAGTCGGCAGCTCCCGAGCGTGGGCCAGAGCGCAGCTGAGGCGCTAAACCATTTTTTCTGAGGAAGCGCCGTCCGTTTCACACCTCAGGTCCACTCGGCTCCCTTGGGCGGCGAACTGCGCCCCTCTGGGGCGGCCGCTCGGCC